GAATGAAGACGTACAGCTCACTGCGTGAATAAGTCGGCTCTGCCGGAGGTGACCTTGAGTTTCCATTGTTCGCTCCGCCGCGAGTGACCTTGAGCCCTGCCATTGCTCGCGCAACGCGAGATAGGCATCTGGGAGATCGATATGCCTATTAATAGATTCCGCGTGCGAGTGCCATGCTTCTTGCAGTAGGCGTGAGATTCAGTCGTCCGACTGGCCTAGTATTCACACGTGTTCGAAGTCGAAGCCGTGCCCTGGCGAGGATGCGTGGGCGGCGACCAAGGATAGCTTGTCCTTCCTTCGCACGGCAATTTCATGCTCGTGCAGTCTCGTGGCAACCCATTTGCCAGTTTCACCAACATAATTGGCTTGACCGCAAATACAGTAGATTCGGTAAATAACAGCGGATTTCTGGTTGACGGGTATTGGGTCCTTAGGCTGCATGAGTTGCCTGCGGATAGCGGCTTCCGCTTTCGACCATTGAGACTATATAATTGTTCTAGCACTTTTGACATTTTAATTTTTCGTTGCGCATCTTCTCAAGTCTGTCGACGACCTGGGGAACCAGCGTCGAAAATTTACTGAATACATTGCCCTTCTTTTCCCAATGAATGTCTTTTCTTCAAAGTACATTTCTTGGAATGCCTATCTTCCAAGCTGTCTGTTATGTTAAGCATCCGCTGTCTAGCTAACTGGTCGTTGGGCTCACATGTGCTCTCTCCCTTTTCCCTCCTCCAGACTGAATTACAGCAAGCTCTAACTGCGCCTCGCCCTACAGCCACTTTCGCTGGCGATGCACCGGCAGATGGCTTCCAGCAGACTGCCCTCAGGAAGACGCACTCTGAACCCACCTTCGCCGCGGCAGTGGCCTTGTCGACGACGCCTGCCTCTGTTCGGCCCAACTTTATGGACCATCCCACCCTGGACGCTGATTACGAACAGGAACTGGCCAAACGGAGGCAACTCTGTGAGGAGGCAGCCGTCCTGCTTCTCAGTCAGCTAGACTCCTCTAGCCATCTTTCAACGCCTGATGACAGTCCTCTGAAGAGGCTTCTCGACGCTAGAGATAGGTAGGTCGTCTGCACTATTTTTGTCCTGTCTG